AATTTTTTTTTAAAAAAAAAGTTCAATTAGATGGTTGATCATTCATGATTTAAAAAGTCATTTATGACATTGACTTAAAAATATGTTATTCTTATAGACTTTGTACCACAATGCAGAGAAAGTATCTAATTCAGGTTTTGAGCCATTGATTCATTGGCAGTGACAATGAGGATATATTTCCACTCCAAAACAGGATTAGATGCAACTTCCTAGATTATTATAGACTGCCTTGCCTACTCTCACGGCTGTCTTGAGGCACCGAGGGGATATGCGTGGAAGCACTTTGAAAAACCTAAGTGACATAACAGTATGTTTTGCTTTCATTCATGAATCTTCTAATTGTATATTAGAGACTTTTTGTTGTAAGACATTTTGCTATGTGAGCTTATAGATTGTAATAGATTTGGGGCTGAGCGTGGTGGCTCACACCTGTAATCCCAGCACTTTGGGAGGCTGAGAGGGGGTAGATCACGAGGTCAGAAGTTTGAGACCAGCCTGACCAATATGGTGAAACCCCATCTCTACTAAAAATACAAAAATTAGCCGGGTGTGGTGGCGCATGCCTGTAATCCCAGCTACTCAGGAGGCTGAGGCAGGAGAATCACTTGAACCTGGGAGGCGGAGGTTGCAGTGAGCCAAGATGGTGCCACTACACTCCAGCCTGGGCGAAAGAGTGAGACTCCGTCTCAAAAAAAAAAAAAAAAAAAGAAATGGATTTGGATAGGCCAAAAATGTGACTGGGTCAAGGAAAACACTTAAATCCATCAAGGCCTTGCTATTAGTAAAATTATGGAGTGTGTGGATAGTGGAAAATAAGTATAGTGTGCTAGTGCCTTAGAATGTAAAGGGAAATAATAGGCAGACTAGAAAATTTTGTCTGTGTTTCGTATCCAGCCTCTCCATTCTTTGGTCAGTATGTACTGAAGCACCTACTAAGGACAAGGCACTTTTTCAGACATCAAAGGTATTACTATCACAATAAGTAAGACAAGATGCTATTTCTGTCCTCCAGGAGCTTACAGGGCAAGGCACTTACAGATGAGGTACAGCATAGGTTAATAAATGTTTGTAGTTTGGAATGTGCCACGTTATTGAGCTTGCTGAAAAAGGTGTAATCTTGGTTAAGTTTATTTACTGACTTAAATGTATTAATATTCTCTTGGTCCACTTTTTAAACTTTAAAACATATAAAATGTACAGTAAAATATTTTTAGATATAAAATATATTTTAAAATATATAACTATATTATAAAATATTTTAAAATATATAACTAAATCTTAAAATATATATCGATAGTATATTTATGTGTATTTTTAAGATAACAGGTCTATTCTACTTGGTAAGTCATCTGAACATTCCATACCTTACTACATTAATATTAGAGAGCTATCAAAGAAAGGGCATTGCTGCTGTGATGTCACCCAGAAGTTAGTTTTTGGTGCCTGCCTCCCGCCTGCCTGCCTGCCTGCCTTCCTTC